GAGGGAGGGGAAAAATGAGGACCTAATGCCGAGGGTTTAAGTGGGGAGAAAATATTTTGAGAATGATGAGGGCAATGAATGTATAAATGCGCTTTACACAATTGATGTGTGTATGGATTGTGATGAGTTGTATGGGCCCCTAATAAAATGATTAAAAATAAAAAATAAAAAGAAACCCCCTCGTATCACCTGACTTTTTTTTTTTTTTTTTGGCATTCAAAGGTGACCTTCAGTAACAAACAGCAGGTGGAGGGGTGGCCCCCAGACGGGAATGGTAGAACTGCTGCTGGAGGCCTCAGGGGTCCCCCGCCCCCGGTTCTGAGCCCTGAAGACAGGGAAGCAGAGGGCCCTACTGAGGGTGGGGGTGCCCAGCTCCCCGTAAGTCCTTCTGCCTGAGGACCTGTGTGGCCCAGGAGGCAGCAGCGAGTGGAGCAGGTTGGGACTGCCTGAGCTGGAAGGTCCTGGTGATGACGGAGTGTCGGCCCCGGCTGGCGTGCAGGCGAGCAGGCCCCGGCCCCGGGGCTCAGATATGGAAGCTCCCCTCACGGCCATCAATGGGGTGCAGTCGCCGGTAGAGTCCGTGCTGGTGCCCTGCAGGGACTGCAGGCTCAGGGAACTGCCAAGGTACTCCGCCCGAGACATGGGCAGCCCGAAGCCAAAGCCGTGCATAGGTCCTGACTGGCCACCACTGAGCATGTCCAGGTGGCCAAAAAGGGGGCTGATCCGGGGGTCCTGGGTGCTGGCTTCGGCCGTGGTGAAGTGGTTGTCCATGACCCGCTCCAGGTCCTTGTGAGCGATGCCCCCGCCCCGTCTGAGATCCTGATGACAAGATCGATAGCGCTGTTGGCAATGGTGATGGCCACATCGGGGACATTGTAGGGGGTGTCTAGGTGACTCTCCATTGTAGCCCTCATGGCATTCCTGAGCAGCTCGGGCAGGACGTAGTCCAGTGGCATGGGGATGAAGGGGAAACGGGCAGCCACGTGCCCGTTGATGCAGACATGGGGGGCATTGCCATATTTGTGTTCACACAGGCGTCTGGCAACGTCTGCCCACTTTTCAATAATCTTCTTTGGTGAAAGGCGAGTGCAGATGATGCCAACCAAGTCGGGCTTGTCCTCGTGCAGTGCCAAGTGATGCGTAGCCAACATGTGATACCAAGCCATGACGTCAAGGTCTTGTCCAAGAAACAGCGGACGAGTTTCTCGTCCTTGCTAGGCTTTCGGCTCTCCCGAAGGCCCTCGGCTAGGAGGGTCACCGTATCTGTGGTTATCCAGCAGCTGTCGCACCAGCTGGCAGTCCCGGGCCTCTTCAGTCTGGTCCTTGATGGGGGAAAGTCTGTCAACTTCTGGAAGGCACGGATGTACAGCTCGTGCACGTGCAGGGCAGTGGGTTGCAGCCGATGATGAAAGGCAGGCTGCGGGAGCCCTTGATGTGGTAAGCCATCCCCACCGGGAGCTCCTGCTGCAGATACCGGGCACTTTTCAGAAGGTGGCTCCCATCCTGTGAGCAGCCGGAATGGAGCGTCATGGTGGGCGTAAGTCGAACCGAGGGCTTCTCTACTGCCACGTCGATGGCCGACTGGTTGTAAAAGGAGGTGACCGTTTTGGAGTGTTCGCGGGCCATCTCCACGTGGTGTGTGTCGGTGGCGGAGGTGGAGCGGGTCCAGAGCGCGAGTGGGGACCCCAGGAGGGGCCGGAGTGGAGGCGCACCCCGGGCGCCACTCCCCAGCACAGACGCCAATATCATTTTTTTCATCCTTTGTCAGGACTGGGGTGGCTACTCGAGTTGAGGACCGGGCAGCTGGAGGTGACCCCCAAAACCGGGTAAAGAAGGGCTCGTCTCTGGCTTCAGGGGTGAGGGGTGCAGCAGTGTGCCAACCAGCTCAGCCCCCCGGGTGCTGCTCCCATCTCCTAGGCGGCCATGATCTTACCAGCCAGGTCTGCGCTCAGCGTGGGCCCAGGGCAGGAGAGCGAGGGGAGGTGCGTCGATTTATTGCTCCCAATGCTTAGCTAACTCACCTGTGACTTCTGTGTGACCGTGTCAGGGGATCACAGACCCCAACAAGAAGCAGGGGGACGTAAAGCTCTGTGGGAGTCCGAGCACTCATAGAATGTTCTACTGGGTCCCAGTGAGCCTAGCGAGCCCGTGGGCTTCAGCGATTCATGGCTGTGACTTTTGGAAACTGAGTACCGAGCCTTTTTGTTGAGGTAACTCCAAGTGGATTCAAACTGCCAGCCAGAGGCTCCCAGGAGATCCCTGCCCACCCCCCACCCCCCTGCCCCCAGTACCTGGGTCTTCCTCCTGAGCTGGCCCGGGAAGCTGCTCTCGCTGCCGCAGGGCCTCCAGGCCATCCAGGTCGGCTGGGTGGCAGTGGCCCCTCATGACGGTCACTCGGGAGCCCTGGGTGATGGCCCGGCTGCGGCAGCCCAGCCTGGCCTGGTCCCGGCACATCCAATACACCTTGTCGCCGGCCGCCTTCTCCTTCCTGTACAGGAAGGACTCGTGCACCAGGAAGCGCCCCCCCAGCGAGGTCCTCAAGAATTCCAGGGGCTGGGTGGCTCCTGAGGGAGAAGGCCACAGTCGGCGGAGCCACTGGGCGCAGGCCAGGGACAGAAGGCTGAGGCTGGGCACCACAGGGAGAGGCCGTCCCCATCTCCCACTGCTGTGACTGCTGCCTCACCCCTCCAGCCTGGCGCCTGGCCCTGAGGACCTGAGTCCAGCCAGCTGACCCCTCCAGGCCCCCCTGGGTCTCTCCTGACTGTGCCCTTGGTGGACAGTCCCCGGGGCAGACTCTGGCCTGTGGTTTCTGTGCGCACCCTGCCACCCCCAGGTTCAGCTCCCCGTCTTTTGACCTCTCAGCTGGCCAGTAACCAGCCAAGTACTATCAGAAGATGAGGCGCTGGAATGGAGAGGACACAATGTGGGGCTGGTGGCCATGCTGACCATGCAGCTGGGGGGAGCAGGACACAGGAGAGCACTCCCAGGAAAGGGAGTGACAGGTGGGGCCCCCAAGGTCTGATGCGTGCCCATAAATGGGCTATGATATAGCATCAAGATTGATAACCTGCTATACCCCTTTTCACACTCACAGCCAAGCTAGACCCGTGGACGTGGGCCCAAAGGGGCCACCAAGCAGGGGGTCTTGGGCTGGAGGCAGATGGCCTTGAGCCAGCTGTCCACGTACCTAGGCCTTCCCGATGGGCTGACCCAGGAAGCCGCTCCCGCTGCCGCAGGGCCTCCAGGCCGCCCAGGTCCGCTGGGTGGCTGTGGCCCCGCATCACTGTCACCCGGCCGCCCTGGGTGATGGCGCGGCTGCGGCAGCCCATGCGGGCCTGGTCCCGGCAGGTCCAGTACACCTTGTCGCCAGCTGCCTTCTCTCGCCGGTACAGGAAGCACTCGTGCACCAGGAAGCTGCCCCCCAGGGGGGTCCTCAGGAACTCAGGACCACCTGCGGAGATGGCAGAACTGGTCAGGAAGCTGATGGGGACCCCGGAGCCTGGGGCCTTAGGGTCGTGAGGGGTGGAGGAGCCCCCCCATACCATGCCTATACCTCTCCTCACAGCATATCAACCCCAGCGCTGGGCTGTTGGCTGCCTGGGCCACCTTTCCTGAGCATGGGGGCGTGAAGCAGGCCCTCTGCCTCCCAAGGGCTTTGTCAAGCGTCCTGTCTTGGCAGCTAGCCTGGGAGCTGGACAGGGCTGGCAGCACGGGAGAGGGGGCTGGGGCAGAGCAGGGAACAGAGAGGTTGTTGGCTAAGATGTACAGGGGACTCCCAGGAGAAGGAAGTAGAGGGACAGGGTGCCTTGAAAGGTGCACGCCCACCCACACTGCTAGTGGGAATGCTGCAGAGCCGTTCCCCATGGAGACTCAACAGCACGGAGGGTGTTACTTATCAGCTTGGTCTACGGGCCTCGTGCTGCCCACAGGCCCTGTGGGAGAAGGCAGGCGCCGTCGTGGGGGCACTCACGCACGCACGCTCTCTCCGGGGAATGACTTTGGAGGGGCACTTCACGGCACAGAGAAGGTGCGTGCAGCCCGGAGGGGGAGGCGGGCAGAATTATCTTTCGAGGCCCGAATCCAGAAACGTTGCTAGTCCGGGAACAGGCTACCTGGTCCAAACTCAACTCCTGTTTTCCCTCGATGGAGGTCAGGGGTGGTGAGGCGGCTGGGGGCCGAGGCCAGGGTGTGTGCCGGTGCCCAGGGCTGTGACTTTCCCCGGCAGACCACCAGGCCTACGGGGTGAGAAGCATTTAACCCACCAGGGCTGACATGGTGGAAGTGAGTTCGGCTCCGGGTGCCCAGAGGGAAGGCGGGAGGCCTGCGAGAATACCAGGAGCGGGGGTGGGAGTGGGGTGGGTGCGCTGGGGGCCCCACTGGTGCAGTAGTGAGAAGCCCTTCCTTGGGGCACTTCTACTCTACCCTAGAGGGTTGGCAGCAGGTCTGGTTTTGGGGGTTGGGACTGGGGGCGGAGAAGCTGTGTTTAGAATGAAAATGAAAATGGGTCAAAAGTGACTTGGAGAAACTGCAGGTCTTTGACTGTCCCCAGGCAGCCCCCAGGGACAGAGAAAACGACAGGGGTAAGCAGAGAGGCCTGCAGGCGGGCCAAGCTCTGAGAGCAGGACAGTTGGGTCGTGCAGCCCCAGGGTGACCAGGTGGACAAGCTGGGCTCAGTGCCTCCAGTGAGAACTGGCGGTCACCCGTGGTAGTGCACAGAGTTACGCCCTTGGCAGCACTCAAAGGTTGGCGACTAAAGTCCACCAAGAAGCCTTGGAAGAGAGGCCTGGTGGGTGAGCTGCTGCCCCAAACCCAGCCCTTCGGTCCCCAGACACCAGGGTAACCGTGGGGGTGGTCTTTCATGGGTGACCAGAGGTTTCTGTAGAACATCTGGACTGGTTACACGCAAACCATCCCAGCCCTCCTCCCGCCACCTCATCTGTAGGGGGCTCGCAGCACCACCCAACTTGCTGCCACGGAGCCGACACCGACTCCTCCACCTTTGTAGGGCAGGCTAGAGCTGCCCCTGGGGGTTTCTGAGACTGTAGTTCTTTGTGGGTGTAGAAAACCACGTCTCTCTCCTGAGGAGTGGGTGGTTTCAAACAGCTGACCTTGGGGTTAGCAGCCCAACCAGTAACCACTCTGCCACCAGGGCTCCTGCAGAACCCATTGGTTACTGGACATTACACTCGCCTAGATCTAGACACTCGGGCCAAAGAGTCCTCCCACTGCCTCCTGGACATGCCATAGGGAACCTGGTGATGCCATGGGTTAGGTAGAGGACCGACTGCTAATCTAAGGGTCAGCGGTCAAGTCCACCAGTTGCTCTTCTGGAAAGTGTTCTGCTCTGTCCTCCAGTATCGCTATGGGTAGGAATGACCCCAACTTAAAATCACCTGCTGGGAGAGGACCTTGGGGCTGGTAACGGGGTGTGTGGGGGGTGGCGGCATATCAGCAAATGACAAAGGGGCCCTTGCCAGTGGACCAACCGACAGCAGAGCCCAGCGGACGGCCTGGAGCGCAGCAGAGCGTGGTGATGGCGCAGCCGGGGCAACGTGTCCTCCTGCTGCTCACGAGGATGCTCTGAGCCACTCGGACTGCGCGACAGCCAACAACCACCGCACGTTCTTTCACAACGGCAAGCGAGGCTGGCCTGGGCCCAGGAGGAGCGAGACGGACAGCTGAAGGGGTCCTAACACCTTCCAGAAGGCTCCGAGAAGGTATGGGGGAAGCAGCCTCCCTCCCATTTTCCAAGCCCTGCCCGTGGTCCTTTGGCTCTTGGGGTACCTGAGTTCCCGCGCTGGGCCTGGCCGGGGCGCTTCTCCCGCTGCCGCATGATCTCCAGGCCGCCCAGGTCCGCTGGGTGGCTGTGGCCCCGCATCACTGTCACCCGGCTGCCCTGGGTGATGGCGCGGCTGCGGCAGCCCATGCGGGCCTGGTCCCGGCAGGTCCAGTACACCTTGTTGCCCGCCGCCTTCTCTCGCCGGTACAGGAAGCACTCGTGCACCAGGAAGCTGCCCCCCAGGGGGGTCCTCAGGAACTCAGGGCCACCTGTGGTGATGCCAGAGCTGGTCAGGGCCTGGGGCTAGGCCATCTGAGCCCACCACGTGCCGCCCCTGGACCTTAAGGAGGTAGACTCACCTGGCTCGGAGTCCTCCGTCTCACTTGGAGGCCCCTTCGGGGTGGGGGGCTGGCTCCGGGGCCCCGGGTCTTTGGGCTTGGCACGTTGCCGCGGCCGGGGCCTGGTCAGGGTGCCGGACCCCTGCTGGTGGAAGAGGCTGTCCACGCCATGGAGTAGCTTGTCCGCAGGCCCGGCCTGCAGGGACTCCATGGCCTTTTCCTGCTGGCGCCGGGCCTCCAGGCCCTCCACATCGGGCAGGTGGCTGTGGCCCCGCATGATGGTCACGCGTGTACCCTGGGTGATGGCCCGGCTGCGGCAGGCGTGCATGGCGTGCTCCCGGCATGTCCAGTACACCTTGTCCCCGACGGCCTTCTCCCGTTTGTAGAGGAAGGACTCGTGCACCAGGAAGCTGCCTCCGTAGCAGGTCCTCAGGAACTCCAGGGGCTGCGCCTCGCCTGGGGGGACACGGCAGTGAGTGGAGCAACGGCTTTCGCTCCCCCACTCAGAACGAGGAGGCTCTTGGGGGCTGCCCATGTGGCAGATACAAGGGTGACACACCTTCCACTTTGTATCTGCCACGTGTGTCCTCCAGCTGGGCACTCAGGGGGGAGCCTCTGACAGCCCTGTTCACGGTCACGAGTAAGTTCTAGGCCCAGGAGTGTGGGAATGTGATCTTGACTGGGAACCAGGTCTTGGCAGACAGTCTCGGTAGAAGGGCCAGCGAGGTGAGACCAGGACCAGGGCGGCCCACCTGGGATCCGATGAGCGTCCCGGGGAGGGTGGGGGGAGGGAGAGGGCGGGGACCAGGTTCATGTGCTCATTTGCTAAAGGAAGGGCTGCCGGTTTGAATCCACCACCAGGGACCTCGGAAACAAGCCCTGGTGACCTGCTTCAGAAACGGCCACAGCCACCGAGCCCGAGAGCGCAAAAGTCCTCTGACCCACGTGGGGGCCGTGCCTACGTGTCATCTGGACAGCCACTGGCCTGGCTCAGATCACAGGGCAGGGCAGGGCTGCCGCAGAATCTGGGGTCTGAATCCCAGATGCCACTGGCCTGGCTCAGATCACAGGGCAGGGCTGCAACAGAATCTGGGGTCTGAACCCCAGATGTGTCCACCGGGCCGCTGCTCCTAGACGCAGTGACTTGCTGCTGGGTGCCGTCAGTGGGTCCAGCTCATGGCGACCCTGTGACAGAGCTAAACTGCCCCGGGGAGGGGTGGGTTTCCCACGCAGGAGCTCCCAGCCCTTCTTCCAGCAAGTGGCTGCTAGTTTGGACCACCGACCTTTCTGGCAGAAGCTGAGCACTGAATCATCATGCCACCAGGGGTCTTTATGGACACTGCTGCCACCGCTGCCAGCTAGGGGCGGCCCCGAAGGGCAGCAAACCTGCCCCGTGGGCTGCCACCTCTAAAGAAGCTGGCGGTCTCCCGGCTCGGCTGATGGGTTCCAAGCCCCGCCCTTCTGGCAGTGTCCACCGCCTCACCAGGGCTCCCACACGAGTGACCACTGGGCAGTGAATTATTCAGTGTGGCTCTTCTAGCCATCGCCTCGCTGAGCTCCCACCCAGCGACCCTTCCCGATGGGTCTGGGTAAGAGCGGCGGAGGACCCTGAGGGGACTGGGGTGTGACTGTCAACACGGCTCACTGTGGTGGCTTTCCTGCCGGGTGGAAAATGATCCCTCTCAGAAGCAGGAGTAGGGGAGAGCTCACTGCTAACAAGAGACACGACTGAGGAGTGGAGTAGCTCCTCTGGACCCCGCGATTCCTGAGCATTGGACCCTCCTGGCCCAGGACACAGCTCCGGGGAGAGAGAGAGAGAGAGAGAGAGGCAGAGGAGCAGCAGCAGCAGAACCAGGAGCCAGAGCGTGAGACAGAGCAGTGGACTTCCCGTTGAGTGCTTTGGGGCAGAAGGCTGGCTTGTACAAGGGGGGCCTCTGGGCACGTACTTTAAGGAGTTGAGTGCCTCCAGGCTGAGGCTGACAGTGGAGGGGTATGCTCTTGGGCATCTATTGGCAACCCCAAAAGAGCTCTGTAACATTGGCCAAGCAGGGCAGAGGCCAGGCCGAGAGGCGGAGGACCAGGCAGACGCCTGACTCCGGCGGGTGTGGCCGAGAAGAAACGGTCCTGAATGGCTAACTGCATGCGTAGGGTTAGGGTTTCTCAGGTGCGGTGGGAGTCGGAACAGTCGGTGTCGTGTCGGACGTGGGGCTCTTGCGATGGCTCCAGACTCGTGGAAGCCTGGGTCTGCATCAAAGAAGCCAGACACGTGGCTCTTGGAAGGTTACTGTGGCTGCTGTCATGCTGAAAGGGGTGTACAGAAGGATGTGCTGAGGCGGAGGGGAGGAAAGCTTCTGGAGTGAATGGGGCAAAACGCAGGCTGGTTAGGCACAGCAGCACTGACAGGAGAACAGGGCCTACCAGCTCCTCCCTAGTGGAGGCCCAGGGCAACATGTGTACAATGGAGACACAGTAGTGACTGTGAAGCTAACACTCTGATTTCTGGGCTGGATACCGGTCCCTGCTGCAGCAGAAAACCCTACTCGGATCTCCGCCATGGTCGGAGTGAAGAATGGGATGTGTAACCTAAAGTCTATTTGATTTCCGGGTGTTCTCAAAGCAGGGGGAACCCCTTATCTCTATAGAGCAGAGGGGCTCTGTCTGCAGAGTGGGGTTCACTACAAGCCTGGAGCAGGATGGGGGTGGCTCACCTGTCTCTGGTGCTGGACGCTTCTTGGGGGGTAAGCTCAGCATCGACAGGGCCTGGAGCCCCTCATCTTCCTCGGGGGCTGGCCTGTCCAGCTCAGGGACCGGCTCCTCGGGGCACAGCCAGGGGCTCACCCCCTCCAGTGGCTCCTCTTCAGGGCCCTGGGGACCTCCTGAGCCCTCTGGCAGGGCTGGGCTGGGCAGCTTCTCTCTCTGGCGCCGTGCCTCCAGGCCCTGCTCATCAGGTGGGTGACAGTGGCCCCGCATCACAGTCACACGGGGACCCCGGGTGATGGCGCGGCCCCGGCAGCGCCGCTCGGAGTGTTCCCGGCACTTCCAGTACACCTTGTCTCCCACTGCCTTCTCCTGCTTGTACAGGAAGGAGTTGTGCACCAGCAGGCGGCCCCCAAATGGGGTCTTCAGGAACTCCAGGGGTCTGAGGGCTGCAGGGCAAGAGCGGGCATCAGCTGAGGGGCTGATGGGGGTTTGGTGGGGCTCCTCGGGGGCTGACAGGTTCCTGAGCCCCACTTTGGACCTCAGAGGCTCTGGTGTGTTCTAGTGGGAGGGGAGACAATGGGCATCCCAGAGGACGCTTGGAGAGGAACGGGCTACCAAACCCTCCAGAGGAAAGGGGGCGTGTGTGGAATGCAGCCTGAGGCAGCGTGGATACCAGTGCCCGGTTCTACCCCTTCCTCCATGTAGTACAGCCCGGGCAGCGTGGACACCAGCACCCCGTCCTAGCCGCTCCCCCATACGGCACAGCCCAAGGGCCCGCTGTTTGGTGGCACTCACCTGTGTCCAGACGGCTGCGTTTCTGCTCGGGTGCCCACATGATGGGTGGGACGCTGGTCTGCTCCTTGGCTGGCAGGATCTGCAGGGCCCCCGTCACAGTGGGTGGCCCTGACACGTCCAAGGATGTGACACAGTGGGCGCCTTTGGGCCTGGAGCCTAGCTCATTCCTGCTGTGGCCGGACGCCGCCAGCAGCACCAGGGGGGGAAACTTCTTGGGTATCCTGGGGGCTGCAGGGACCACGTTGGTGCCGGGCTCCCGGGAAGGTTCTTGGACAGCCTGCAGGCTCTCACCCTCCTGCTCGCCAGCCTCAGGCAGGGGCATCCTGGGGGAGGCGGCTGCCCACAGGCCACGCCCAGGCCAGCAGATGGCCTGCAATGTACCTCCTCCTCTTGGGCAAGGATCCTGGGGTCTAGCAGCTCCTTCCTGTGAGAGGGGGCAAGAGCCCTGTCAGTGGGGGCCTCAAGGCCCCAGATCCCGGACTGGAAGATCCAGGCTGGGACACACCGCCTGGTGCTAGAGGGCCCTGTGGGTGTTTCTGCTCACCCCCAGCCATGAGGTTTGTGAGTAAAGCCCCTTTCTGTGGGGTGTGGCTATGTCCTGATCATGAGTGACTGTGAATCCAGGGTGAGCTCCGTACCCCATCCCTCCCTCTCTCAGCCCACATCCTGAATCAGTTTACCAAGGACGTGCTGGGCTTGTCAGGGCAATGGTGACTACCAGGCACTAGCAGCAGGGCTGGCACTGAGGTCAACAGACCCCGGAGTCACCCCCACACTTCTCGGTGTGACCGCCCCCCCCATGAGGAGAGGTACTAGGGGCCTGGCACCAAGCTCGGGGGACAAGCACTTTGGAGACAGCAGCTCAGCTCACCCATCTGTCCAGGAGCTGAAAAGTCCATGCCCCACTGGCAGATGGGGAAACCGAGGCCCAGAGAGTAGGGATACACCTACCCAAGGATGAAGAGGCAAAGAGCTGAACCCCACATACTTCACCCCTACACTTTGGAGACCCGGTGCTGAAGCCTGGACCCCACTATCCCAAGCCAACCTAGCACCGGGTCTTGGCCCTGGGGAAATGCCCAGACCCCACTGTGGCTGTGATCTTGTCTCAGAGCAAGGGCATGGCTGGGCCTGGGCATCTGGCTGCCCCCGGAGAGGCAGAAGCTGAGTCATGGTGACACAGATGCCAGCCCTGGTCTTCAACTCAGGGGTGTTGGCTGGCACACGGACAGGGGGCCCTGCCCCTGCCCAGTGCCGAGGTTCAGTCCCCGCTGGTCACTCATCACTCAATGAAGGCCTCTGGTCTGGGGCTGCATGCGACTTCCCAGCCACCCCATAAACCCAGAAGTGGGCCAGGGGTCCCAGAGCAGTGACCCAGGCCCAGAGCTACTAGCCTGCCCGTGCTTCATGTGAACCCTCACCTGGAGGCGGGAGTTCTCCTCCAGGGGAGGGCTCAGAGAACCTTTGGGTCATGATGGGCAACCTCATGGGGGAGGGGTGGTCCCAGGACCCGCAGGTGACCTATCCTCCTCCACCCAGCTCCTCTCCTGGTGTCTTCTCTGGCCTGACACAGGTGGGTGGGGACCTGGAGTGCCCTGGGAACTAGACTACACAGAGGCATTGCCAGCAGCACCCCAAAACCCTGCAGGGCCTGCCGGGGTAGATCAGTGTTAAGTCGGGGAGGCCAGTCTACCCAGATACCCCACCCAGTATACTGATTGGCCTCTGAAGCATCTCTCTGCAGCTGACCACAGCCCTGGCACTGCTGGGGGGTGGGGGGCAGGTAGGAGGGGGTGAAGGACGGAAGCCTGCACACCTAGGGTTGGGCCAGGGGACACCAGGACCAGATTGGTTCTTTCCCGAGGCTTCCATTAAGCCTCCCCGCCCTGAGAGTGACCACACCTAGTGGGCTTTTAGACAGATGGCGAGACATGATGACAGGCCTACGAGTACCCTCACCTAGAGTCCCAGCAGGAGGACGATGAACACAAGGCCCTGGAGACCCTGGTAGCATGAGAAGGGGCGGGGCTGCCCTGGTGGCTCTCCTGGCACTGCGGACTTGTGAACCACTGAGTCGTCAGAGACCAAGTTCAGGGAGATGGACTGTTTAGTGTGACTCTCGTGGCCACGGCCTGTTACTCCACCAAACGGTCTCCATGTTCCTGATGGGTCTGGATAAGGTGAGGAAAGAGACTGATTGGATTACGTGATCCAGCTGTAAGTGACTGTTAACAGTGCTAATTATAAAGGTCATCCTAAAAAACAAAACCCCAAACCCTCAAAGCCATCGAGTTGGTGTTGACTTGTCGCCACCCTCTAGGACTGGGTAGAACTGCCCCTGGGAGCTCTGAGACTCTAACTCTTTACAGGAGCAGAAAGCCTGTCTGTCTCCCGCAGAGTGGCTGGTGGCTTCCAAAGGCTGCCAGGGCTCCCAGAGGGCCAGCCTGCTGCGTATAAAATGGGGCATCTCAGACGCAGGAGGTGGGAATCTCACTGCCAACAACAGAGAAGAGCCAAGAGTGGAGCATGTCCTTTGGACCCTGAGAGCCCCATCCAGTGTACCGCCTGGATCCAGGAGACAGCAGGGCAGCAGCAGCAGCAGCTGAACGGGGGCCAGAGCAGGAGACAGGAAATGGGGTCCCCAGCCCACAGAGCAAGTAAAGGCGAATGCTTTGGGGCAGGAGGCTGGCTCAGGGAATGGGGTGCCTCTGGCACTTAGTCCTGGAGCTGAGGTTTGTAGTGGAGGGGCAAGCCCTTTAGGTGTGTCTTGGCAATCCTAAATGGGTTTTGTAACATTGTCCAAGCAGAGCAGAAACCAGGTCAAGAGGCTGACGGCCAGAGAGAGGGCCCCCTGTGGGGGCAGCAGGGAAGAAGGGGCTGTCCTGAGTGAACCCCTAGCACTTCTCACTTGGGTTGTGACTATTCTCGTCCCTAGTAAACCCTGTAATCGTTGCGTTGGGTGGCCATTCCAAGGGAGTGTGGAACCCAGCAGGAAAAGAGCAAGCAGGGGAGCAGAGTGCGTGGGGACAACGGTGGGGCCAGAATGGCGGACAAAGGATGGCGGGGCGCCCACTGTGTCTGACATCCGTCTTAGGAGCCCGAGGGGTCAGATGTCAACCTCGCCCTGGTTCATCACTAAGGCACTCCACTCCAACTGGGGAAGCGCCACCTCAAGTCCACTCCCTGCCACTGCGCCGACACCGACTCACAGGGGCCCCACGGCCGGGAGAACTGCCCGGCGAGTTCCGAGGAAGCCCCGCGTCTGCCTCTGGAAGCAGAGTCGACCATGATGACCGGGGTGGAGGAAAGCTTAGTGGGAGTCCCTTGCCGATGGGGCGCCACTTAAAATGAGAAGGAAGAGGTGTCAACATCCTTTGACTGTCGGAAGGTGGAATGTACAAAGTGTGAATCTGGGAAAACGGGGCATCTTTAAACAATGGGATGCCTGAAGACCGAGATGCTCGGCATTAATCAGATGGCATGGACTGCCATTGGCCGCTTTGAGGCGGACAGGCGTATGGTTTACCGGGCCAAAAATGACCCATGAAGCCCTGGGGACATAGGGGTTACTTGTTGGGCTGTTAACCGCAAGGTCGGCAATTCAAACTGACTAGCCACTCATGAAGAGGTGCCAGGCACTGGGCTCACGTACAGAACACAGCCCTGCCTCTTCCTTTCCGCCTTCCCCGTCACTGCCATGCTGGCGCCCATGGCTGCAGCCACTGTGTCTGTCGGCTCATCGAGGGCCCCTCTTTTTGGCTGACGCTTGACTGCCCAGTGCACAGCACCTCGTGATCACATGTCCCCAGGAGGGGAGCTGAGGCTCTGCCATCCTTGCTGCCAAGGAGCATCCTGCCTGCACTTCTGCCGTCACGGATTCGCTTCGTCTTTTGGCGAAAACCCAGCCCCTGTAGTTGGGTTGATTCCGACTCGTGGTGACCTGATAGGATGGGACAGGACTGCTTTGAGGGGTCCTTGCAGAGCACCTCGTCTCCCTCCAGCAGAGCAACTGGCAGGTTCACACAGCCGACCTCAGGGTTAGCAGCCCTTCGCTTAACCCACGGTGCCACCAGGACTCCGGCTTCTTCTGGCGGTCTCTAGTCCGTCTGTATTCTCTGCCAACAGGTCAATCCAAAGGTGCCAGTTCTGCTTTGGCCTTTTCTACTCTCTGCCCAGCTTCCCGCGCACACCAGGGGGTCGAGGAGACCCAAGCTTGAGTCCGGTTGCCTTCAGGCCTCCGAGTGACGGCATTGCTTTTGGACACTTTCAAGGTCTTGGAAGTGGCTATCCCTTTAAGGCAGCGGTTCTCAACCTGTGGGTCCCGCCCCCTTTGGGGCTTCAATGACCCTTGCACGGAGGTCACCTAATTTATACCAGTAGCAAAATGACAGTGAAGTAGTAATGAAAATAATTGGATGGCTGGGGGTCACCACCACATGAGGAATTGTATGAAAGGGTCGTGGCATCAGGAAGGTTGAGAACCACTGCTCTACGGAGTCTGACTGTGGTCACTCCCATTGGTTGAGTATGATGTTCCTATAGCTCCTTCACTGTGGGCATGCACATAAATGACATCCGACCTGGGAGTGCCCCCCTCCCTATCCCTTTCCTTTCTAAACAGTCCTTTTCCTCGTGGTGAGTCCGAATCTATTCAGTGGCTCCCTACTGCCGGCTTTTCTGGTCTTCCCATCTGGACACTCAGGGTGGCTGAGGTCTTCCCTCTCCCAAGACAAAGCTTTGCCGGACCCCCTTTGCCTACTTGGGGCGCTGCCCCCAGTTCTACGAACACCACCATCCTCTTTGGCCTAAGGCCTGGTGCAGCCATCCCAGGAGCCACCCTTCCCTCCGGGACACTGGCCTTCTGGGAAGGGCAGTCCTGCTCTGACCCACATGGCAGTGGCCGCACCTCCAGCGACTGTTCTGTGGCCGACCAGTGTTTACTGAAACCTGGCATTTCAGACCCTGAGGGAGACACAGGGACTAAAGACAGACAGCCCAGGGGGCGCTGCTGAGTCCCAGGATGGGGCGCACAAAGAGGACTCAGAGAAGCTGGGGGGTGGGGGTGGGGATGCAGGGTGTACTGGGAATGGTTTGGGGTGGGGGCGGAGCAGAGTTTGCCAGGACAAGGAGGCAACAGCTACAAAAGGGGAAGGTGTGCCAGGAACCCTTGGCTCACAGAAGTCCCTGGACGGTCCCCACAATGAGGTTAAAGCCCCCTCCAGGACACCTTCGAGGAAAGGGCTGGTGACCTGCTGCCAAGGGCCCACAGCCTCAAGACCCTGCAAAGCCGATCTACTGGGGTCACCGGGGCTCAGAGCAGAGGCCACAGCCACTGACCCCAACTGCCACCCGTTTGGAGAAGAGAGAGCTGGACCCCAGGGTGGGAAAGGGAGGTGGCCAGCTGGAACCAGACTGCCCTAGGGCAGGGCCAGCAAGAACTGCTGTGCAGGGAGATTAAGGGGGAAAGCAGGTCCCCTGTCTTCTGCTCTGGTGTGGACCCAGCCCCTAAGGCCAGAGGCACATTCCAAGGGAAGGGGTGGAGGGTGTCCATGCTGCCCACACCAGAGCAATGGCTTTTCTAGCTGGGGCCTGCCGCTTCCTGTGATGTCAGCCGTCCATGGCTGGAAGGGACACCTGATGGTCACGTGGACTCAGGTGTTCAGAGAGGGCAGAGAACTGCCTGTGCAGGCCATGGGGGCTGGGGGGCGGGGGCGGTGTCTATCATTTCTGCCTTGTCCCAGGACCCTGCGGGGACTTACTGAAGAGAAGGGCTCGGGGTGTCTGAGAATCTCATTTCACTGGGGCTCCCTTTTTTGTTTTCATTCCACCCGTAAGCCCCTTCCCCCAGTTCCTCTCTGGTTCCTCTTCAGCCTGACTTCACTGCACTGATTTTAGGGTGCACACAGGGCCCCCAACCTTCGATGACTCATCCCTTCAGGGCTTGTCGACTGCCAGATCCCTTACAGCCTACCAGTAATCGCCGGGTGAGCATTAGCTCTGGAACCCCCCAAACGGGCTCCCAGGACCCAGTGAAGATTTGGGGGGGGGTCAGGGGTCTTTCAACAGTGGGGCTAATACATGTGTGTCTCCATGCAAGGAACCCTGGTGGCTTAGTGAATACATGTTGGCTGCAGTTTGAAACGCCCAGTGGATCTGCAGGAGGAAGGGGAGCCTTTCTACTCCCGAGAAGAGTTACCGTCCAGTTCCACCGTGTCCTAGCGGGCCACGTGGGCCCGGATCTATTCAGTGGCTGGGAGGGCTTTTAGCTTGCCATCGGTGCAGCTAAGAGCTTACAGTGGCGCCCCCGTGTGGGTTCGAGGGGAACTGCGCTCCGCAGGGTTTCACTACATCGAGATGCGCAGTTTGAAACCACCAGCTGCTCCTCCGGAGAAAGACCGGGTTTTCTACTCCCATAAACAGTTACAGTCTCAGAAACTCATAGGGCAGTTCCATGAGTTTGAGATTGTTGCGACTCACAGCGACACTATCTATTGGGCACAGCAGAACTGCACCTGCGAGCTTCTGAAGCTGTAACGTTTAATTTCTTTTTTTTGAAACTAACTCTTGACGGGAGTAGAAAGCCTCATTTTTCTCCCACAGAGCGGCTGGTGGTTTTGAACTGCTGGCTTTGCAGCCCAATACGTAAGCCCACTATACAACTCCTAGGCTTGGTGAATCGGAATCAGCTCCATGGCAGTGGTGGGGTTTTTGCTTCAAATTGCCAGCGGCCGAGGGTGTGCTAACGGTTCACCCCCACCCAGAACTGCGTCCGTGCTGCGTGCAAACCGGACCCACGCTCGTGGGGGGCAAAGTTAAACCTCTTACTGCCCCCCATGGGCACCCTCTGCCCCCAACCAGGCGTCGCCCATCACGTGGGCAACTTCGCGCGGTGCCCCAGCAGCACGGTAAATGCCCCCGCCGGGCTCCTGAAGCGGAAGTAGGATTCCTGAAACGGAAGTAGGATTCCTGAAACGGAAGTAGGGCGGAATTAGGAAAGGAAGAAACGCACGGACCTCGACGAGGCAACTGCCACAACGAGGAGTCTCGGCAGCTCGGCGCAAGTGCCAGGTCTGCGTGCTGGGACACACAGCCGGCGACGTTAGAGCAGAAGCTCCCAGCTGCAGGCCGGCCGGAGGCCCGGGAAGGACCAGAACATGACGTCATTTTGACC